ATTGACCCAGAGACATGTACACAGGGTACAAAATATATTCAAGAAAGACATGCATGCAAGCATATGTGGCATTAAAATCAAGTCAAGAACATAAAACTAAGACTACACAGAAAATTGAAGTTAAAATACTATTCACTAATGTAAATAGTAATGACATTTTTGATTTAATACAGTATGGATTTAATTATCAAATACTCCAAATTTTGCAAAAGGTTCCTTTTTTGGCTAGCTTCCCCTTCCCCTCCACAAATGCTCTCCACCCCTACTTCATCTATCTTTACATCTATCGTTATGTTAAACGGTATCATTTACTTAAAGGGTTTCGACAGTGCCTTGTACCACAACATATGTTCAATAAATGCTTCCCACTAACCTTCATTTTAAATTATCCAGGTATTTTAGGCAAAGGCAATTTCTAATTATCACTCTGTTCTTAGAGATAAATGATTAGCAAATATATAGATTAGAAAGATACATCTCTCTCGGAGGCACACAGACACACCCAAATATCCTTTGTCCAGACCCTTTGTGGGCATCCAAGGCCTACTCAACAGGGCCTTGCTGTGTCATGCTGCCACCATGGGGAAGGGGGAAGGACAAGGTGGTGGTGGTGGTAGAGGGGAGCGGAAGCTCTCTGGCATCTCATAATGTGTGCCTCAGTCAGAGCTTGGATTTTCCTATTAGCATTCCCCCACCAATTCCACTGAGCTGCAAATAATCATTCTTTTCCAGAATCTGTCCCCATAGCTAGCTCCTGTGGGCTATACTGATTTCACTATGGAATCAGGCAGTTCTCCAACACAGAGGCCCCCACCTTTCCTACCCTAGGCTGCCTCTTTCTTTGGAGCAAAGATTTGAGGTGGAGTGAAAGAGATTGTCCAAAGAAAGGTCAGGATTACACTAAACATTATCCCATATAACCCCCTCCCAAACTCCCTCCTACAGAGAAACATAGAACACTACGGAAAAAAAATTGCAAGTATAGGGAAGTAGAGGGCAGAGAGATACAGTAGGACTAAAGATTCATCAAATAGCTGGTAGAACAAATTATGGTTTGAAAAGGAAGATAAGTAGACTGAATATATTAAATACACAGGACAATAAATTACAGAAAAGGATATTTGAAATAAGGAGGTAGGTGCTGAGAAATAACTACATGTAAATTGTTAGAAATTAATGGTCTGTACAAGGTAACAAGGCATGGATGCTGTGAAGAAATAACTACCCATTGTTCATAGCGCCCCCTTCTCTCCTCTTCAGCTGTCCCCCACCTTATGTGGGGTCTTTCAATCTAACCATAAGCAGCCGCTCTTCTATCTTTGCAGCCCCCTGCCCCCCTCCCTCAGTTTGGTTTACCTGTTATCAATCAATTACTGGCGTGTTCCAAAGATGGAGGGAGTGCCTCGGGGGCTCCGGGATCTGTGCCGGGCTGGAGAAATACAAAGCTGTTGGGGCTTTGACGGCTTTGTCTTCTCACTCCTTTTCCCTCTTCAGTGACTGAGACTGTCAGTTAGCTCTCCCCCTGCAATGCAGCCCCTCCTAAGAAGGGCGGAAGGATTTCCCCGCCCCCTCCTGCCTGACTCGGCTAATTCAAATGATAGGTTCCAGAACACTTGAGGGAAAGAGACGATTAAAGCGTCTCCGTAGGCTCATTGGTCTGCGCTATTATTCCCAATCTCCTCCAGCATACCCGTGCTGACTAGGGGCGCAATGAATGAGCAGTTAATTGCCCTCTAATTTTAGGTCCTCTAATTTATGGACTTGAAATCTTAACTCTAGACTACAATGGAAAGTAGTGTTCCTCTCTTCTACAATTTAAGGACTTCAGGTTACAAGGTATTTTTAAGAATCATATTTTTCCACCCGTTCTCCCAATCCCTGATCCTCCCGACTCGCCTCTCTACCCTCACAATGGGTAAATAAACCTAGTCCTATTCCATTTTGGGTAGAGCACAGAAGAGATTTGGGGTGGGGGGGCGTGCTTCTGCGAATCTCTGAACTTGGTTAGGTCTCGGGGTTTGGGGGGCTCCGCTTCGTTTTGTCCCGAAATGCCTGGCGCGCAAAGGGAACGTGAAATTTCGGGGGCCTCAGCTTGGGTACCAGGCCCTCATCTAGGTGTTCGCATTCTCCGGTTCTCCCCTCAGGGGCGGCGGCCTTGGGGGGCTGCAGAGGCACCCTCCCACGCCTCGCACAGTGCAGTGCCTCCGCAGTCCAGAGGGGAGCTGTGCGCTCGGCTCCGAGCCGGACGGGTTTCGTAATCGCGTCGCCGCCGCTTCCGCCCTCAGCCGGCCCCACCTCTGCCGGCTCGTCCTGGGCTCCCCCACCGGGCCGCAGAGCTAGCCCGGGAAGCCCACACTGGCGGCCACGGAGCAGAGCCCCTCACCCCCGCCAGCTGTAGCTGAACGTCTGGATACCGGAGAAGAGCAGGTGAGGCCATGCAGTTGGTCCCCCGGCCCGCCCGCCGCGCCGGCAGGGCCAGGCGGAGACACACCGGATGCGGGGTGTGGGGAAGGCGGATGTCTTGGGCTGCAGAGATGCTGGGGCGTTGGGAACGGGGTGCGCGCCCGGGGTGGCCGTCCTCATCCACCCTCCTGGGGTGCGCAGGCTGAGGCCGCTGAAGAGTAGAAGGAAAAGAAGGAACTGGAATGTTGGGGTGGGGGTGGGAAAGGGAGGGTCCGAAAGATTCCCAGGGAGGTCCCAATCCGATTAAGGGTTGGGAAGAGCAGAGAACTTCTGGGTAGAGTTGGGTAGTGGGGGGAGACAGATACGGAATCTGAGTGATTGAATATATTTGGGGAGGGGAGGCTTAGGGCCTAGCCCTCTTTCCTCTTAAGCCCCCAGAAGACCTTTCCTGGGGAAGGGGAATGTTGGAGCTGGGCCTGTCACTTGGCTGAAATATGGAGTCCACTCCACTTCTCCAGAGCCCCTCCGCAGCCCTCCATGTCTAGGGGTCTCCACACAGGGACCAGCTGCTGCCCCGGGCTTCTAGCCAGAATTGCCCATTCCATTCTCTCGATTCTTTCTTTCTCTCCAGCTGCTTCATGTGAGGGCTTGTCAGGCCGCGGGTTGGAGGCCTTAGGGCCAGAGGCGGTGGGACCGGGTGAACCGGTTTGGGGCCCGAATGGGACCAGAGAACTAGCCTGTACATCCTTCCTCCCTGGCACCTCTTTCCTAACCCTTCTGCTCACCTCCCAACAGCTTTGAGACCCTCAAGTCCTAGTGTGATCTTGGTGGGGGTGGGGGGTGGCTTTCCCGGTTCCATATTTCACTCTTGCCATTTGGAACTCAGAGAGGCCGAGTTCTGAGCACCAAGGACGTGGCCTTATGCGGTCTAATCCTCATCCCTCCTGTTGATTTCTCAGCCCCTTCCCTACCCACTGTGGGGTTGGATTCGGTGGCTCTTCCGCCTGGGCTGACCAGCTCAGGACTTCATTTTTCCTCAGCCCACTCTCTTCTGGCTGCTTTAAAGAAGAGTGGCCGCCAGTGGCTCTTACTTCCTTTTTTGGCTTTGTTCCCATCCCCCCTTCCCTGCGCTACCATCACATTCACCCTGACCTGTCTTCACACTCTGACCCCACCCTCAAGTTTCAGAGACCCTAATGTCCTAGGGAATGGAATTTCCTGGTCACATCTCGTCATCATTGGTCATTTCATGCCAAGTCCCACACACACACTTTCCCTCCACCCAGCTCTGGTCAGGTCCCTGGAAAAGAAACAGAAATGGCCTTGTTCTCTGCACTGCCCCTTTCCCTCTCTCCTCCTCCCCCTCTCTTCTCCTCTTCGCTCCCAGCACTATCCACCTCTGTCCCTCAGCTTTGAGCAGGGCAGGAGATGTTGAGGGAGAGTCCAGTCGCAGTACAGCCTGCCTGCTGGTGTTGGGGGTTTCCTCTAATTCTTCATTTTCCCCCAACCCTTACCACCTGCCACCATCACCATCAGGATAAACCCTATGACTGACTCACTGACGTCCCACTGACCACAGCTCTCCTCTCTGGACAGCTGTGTTTTAGCTTCCGCTCCTTCTGGTTACTCCTCCCTTCCAGTGGTGAGAAGGGAAGTAAGAGAAAGCCTAGCCTCCTGGGTTCTCCCTTCCCCTAGACGCTGCATTTGAGTGTTTGTGTGATCTCATCTCAAGGCTGTTAAAAAACCTCTCTTTATGTGTGTGTGTGTGTTTTTTTTTTTTTTTTTTTTTTTGTATTTGAGACAGGGTCTTGCCCTGTCACCCAGGCTGGAGTGCAGTGGTGCAAACATGGCTCACTGTAGCCTCCAACTCTTGGGCTCAAGTGATCCTCCTGCCTCAGCCTCCCCAGTACCTGGGATGACAGGCGCATGCTACTACACCCTGCTATCTTGTTTTTTTGTTTTGTTTTGTTTTTTTGAGGTGGAGTTTCGCTCTTGTTGCCCAGGCTGGAGTGCAATGTCGCGATCTTGGCTCACTGCAACCTCCGGTTCAAGCAATTCTCCTGCCTCAGCCTCCCAAGTAGCTGGGATTACATGCATGCGCCACCACACTCAGCTAATCTTTTGTATTTTTAGCAGAGATGAGGTTTCACCATGTTGGCCATGCTGGTCTCAAACTCCTGACCTCAGGTGATCCGCCTGCCTTGGCCTCCCAAAGTGCTGGGATTATAGGCGTGAGCCACCACGCCCGGCCTATCTCTTGTTTTTAAATCAGTCTGGGGTGCCAAAGCATCAGTGTTCCTGGCCTGGAAGAAAGGGAGATTCCTGTTCATGTTAAAGTGTCGTATTTATGAAACTCCCCTTTTTGGAATCTTTGAGGTTGTCTGTACTATAGGACTGGGGAAATGCAAGTGAGTCTAAGAAGAAACCCAGATGTGTCCTACCCTGGCTGGCAGTAGTGAGAAGGGAGGAAGTTCTTCCCTGGACACTAGTACTATTGGAAAGTTCCTTGTGTCTGGTTGACTGATGAAGCTTGAGGATGGAATTGGTGAGGAGGGAGGGGAGAACAGGTCACAGCTGGAGGGGAGCCTGGGCCCTATAGGGTGTGAGGCAGAGCAGAGTGGCAGATAGGACATGTGGACGGTGGGGAAAATATTCCTCATGGGACAGAAGATACCTGGCACATGTACCCACAACCTGTACACAGATGATCTGTACTGGACACACGTGGAGATATGGCCATGCCACACATGTGCAAACAGAGGTGTACACACAGGAGTGCAGTGATACAGGACACAGATAAACAGAATGTACACAGCCTTCAGGAAGGATCTCAAGGTCAGGTAATAAAGGAACTGCTAACTGGCTTCTGGGAGGGATTGGATTTCACTGGAGGGAAATCAGGAGGAACAGGGCAGCAGAGGGGGAAAACATTTCTCATTGTAGAAAGTCTTTCCTGAGGGCCAACCTGTCAGTTAGTCTCCTAGGACCTCAGTGGTCCAGGGCTCCCCTGTTCTTAAAGAAACTCTAGCATTCAGGGCAAGGTAAGAAAAAAGGCAGGGACAGGGTGGAGACCTTGTTTGTGAGAACAAAAAACCACTATTTCCTCTTCAGAGTCACTTAAATGCCCCTCCCCTTCTGCCCTAAACTCAGAGAGAAGGGAGCTGGAGCTTCTAGCACCCCAAACTTTGCTAATTTCTGCCACTGTCCTTTGGTCCTCGCCCATCCTTTTAACTCTAAGTGCTTCTAGCCCCCTTCCTCTCCCTTGGTACCACCAGCCACTGCTCCTTAACCCCTTGGTGGCCTTTTGGTTCTGTTCCTTTATCTTAAGAGTCAAACTGAGGTTTGTAGTGTTTGGGAACGAGTGTTGGTGTACAGGTCTCGGGCCCCTCAGGGAGGACTGAGAAGATATAGGCTCATCAGGAGGTTTCTCAAGGATTGGGGGAGGGGGAGATTTCTCATTTCTCTTTCTTTTTACTTTCTTCTAATCCAGGGTTCCGAGTCTGAGGAAGACATAACCTTGTGCCTGCCTGCCCACCTCTCTCTCTGGTCCTGTTCATCTCTCAGGCTCTGAGACACTGACCTTCACTGCTCAGTTAAGGGTTCCAGGGATTCTACTTTCTCTGGACCCATCCAGCTGAGTGAACCCAGGGTGTTGTTATATCTGGGGAGAGTGAGGAGTGGGTTGTCCAAACACCAGAGCAAGAGCCCTTTGGGGCCTCAGACAGAGGAGTGAAGCTGGAACCATCAGGGAACATGAGTGAATTTTGGCACAAACTGGGCTGCTGTGTGGTAGAGAAACCCCAGCCGGTGAGTCTCCCCACCCCCATCCTAACCCAAAGAGCAGTCAATTACCATGTGCTGTGAGGTAGCCACACCATCTAGGATCTGCCATCTAAAAAGCACACTTCTTGCCTCCCTCTGTGTCAGGAGCTTCTATAGTCAAGCAGCTGTATATGTGGAATAAAGGGCATTGGGTGATGGAAGAAGTGAATAGTCCTAGCTATTACCTCCTGTTCCTGTCCATTCTGAGCTGGGCGGGGTTTGTAGGTGGAGCTGCATACCTGTCAGTTTTCCCCATTATTTCATCATCAGTCAGAGGTGACTTTGACGTGTCCTTTCTTCGTCCGGTGTTCACTCTACAGGCCACTGCCCTCACTACTCTGGTTCATGTCTTCTGTGTGCTTTTGTTGTTCCAGCTTTGCCTTTCATGCCCTAGTGGTTTCCCTGTTACAATGCCACATCCCCTCTTCCCACCAGGCCCTTAGCTTTTTAGTGGTTTTGAAGACTCTTTTCCTTTCCTCCACTCTAACTGGAGGAGGGGCCTTAAGACATGACTCCTTATCTTCTCCAAGCAGAAGAAGAAGAGAAGACGGATTGACCGGACCATGATTGGGGAACCAATGAATTTTGTCCACCTGACTCACATTGGCTCTGGGGAGATGGGGGCCGGAGATGGACTTGCCATGGTAACAAGGAAATGGGGAGAGGTTGATACGGGGGTGAGGTCTATAACCATTCCTTCTTTTTGAAAGTTCAAGCTAGGGACATATGAAAATACTCAATGGGGAAGTAAAAACCTGGGATTCTAGTCCTGGTCACAAGTTGTGGAAACCTGAGACCTGGCATTTTAGGTGTCTGGGCCTAGGTTCTCTCATCTTTACAACTTAGCAGATTGTTCTTCACTGGGGTAGGGGGTATATATATCTTAATAGTTGGAAGGCTTTTTCCAAAAAGCTTATAATCCTCCCTTCTCCTAATTAAGAGCTGCTATCTCAGTGTCAGAGTAAATCATATATTTAGGAGTGTTGGGACAGGAAAAAAGCTGAGCACCGTCATCCTAAACAATGTCTAAGATGCATTTCTGTTCCCAAAATAAGGGAAATGGGTCTAAAGATAGTCTTTTCCCAGATCCTGAAACTCAGGTATATAGGGGAGAATCCATTGTGAGGGAATATTAGTAAAAGACCCATTTTACCTCATCCTCATGAAGGCCAGTGTGAAAAGAGGCATTGAGACTCCCCTAGGAGGAATGGCGGTTAGTAGACGGCTGCTATTGTCAAGGAGATGGCATCAACCTTTTCCTTGGAGGGCACAAAGTAGAGTTCTTACTGTAGGATATGAAGACTTAGGAAGGTGTCTCACATCTGTTTTTTCACAGACAGGTGCAGTTCAGGAGCAGATGAGATCCAAGGGAAACCGAGATAGGCCATGGAGCAATTCTAGGGGCTTATAGCTCCAATAATGGAACGGTGAGTGATAGAGAAACCCACCCTACGCCTCAGCCCCCATAACAACACAACCTGATACCCTGACTCAGAACCCTGATCTCATGCAAGAAAGAAAGGTGTGGCCAGGCGTGGTGGCTCATGCCTGTAATCCCAGCACTTTGGGAGGCTGAGGTGGGTGGATCACTTGAGGCTAGGAGTTCAAGACCAGCCTGGCCAATGAGGCAAAACCCCGTCTCTACCAAAAAATACAAAAATTAGGCAGGCACAGTGGCATGCTCTTGTAGTCACATCTACCTGGGAGGCTGAGGCATGAGAATCACTTGAACCCGGGAGGTGGAGGTTACAGTGAGCTGAGATCACGCCACTGCACTCCAGCCTGTGTGATAGAGTGAGACTCTATCTCAAAAAATAAAAAAAAAAGAATGGGAGATAGGGAGGAATTAGAAGGGAAGATTCAAGAATGTGGGATCTAAGCTGGGCATGGTGGCTAACGCCTATAATCCCAGCACTTTGGGAGGCCGAGGTCAGCGGATGACTTGAGGTCAGGAGTTCGAGACCAGCCTGGCCAACATGGCGAAACCCTGTGTCTACTAAAAGTACAAAAATTAGCCAGGCATGATGGCACACGCCTGTAATCCTAGTTACTCAGGCAGCTGAGGCAGGAGAATCACTTGAACTCGGGAGGTAGAGGTTGCAGTGAGCCTAGATCGTGCCACTGCACTCCAGCCTGGGCAACACAGCGAGATTGTCTCAAAAAAAAAAAAAAAAAAAAAAGCGTAGGATATAGAAAGACTGAGAAGGTGTTGTGCAGATAGAAGTAAAGAACACACTGTGGAAACAGCTTAAAGTCTGCACTAGGTAGTGCCTTCTTCCTAAAGCCTTGGTTTTCTTTGAGGCTAATCTTCTTTAAGAAAAAAAAATTTTTTTTTTTAATTTCAGGTTCTGCCATCTTGAAACCCCCATTCTGTTTCCAGCCCAGAAGAAATGCTGCCCCTACCAGATCCCTCCTTGAACCAGTGATCTAAGGACCCCTCTTTTCCCTATCTGCCTAACAGTGCCTCACAAGGCTTGGGGGCTGGACTCCCTCTGCTCCCTCTGGCTATAGCCCCTCCTGGAGATGGGGTCAAGGCAGCAGGACTGACCAAGTGACTACTGGTTAGCCAGAGGAGCTCAGCTGAAGCCCTGGACACCCTCAGATCTGAGATAGGAGTTCTCTAGGAACCTGGAATGAGTTCCTGTCTCCTGAATGATGGTCTGGGTGCCACCTGTTTTTAAACTCTTAACCTGGAACTCCTTAAATGGGGTAGGTGGGTGAAATTATCAAAGCTGAAGCTGGCTTTGCTGAGAAGCTCCCTACCTCCCTGCCGTTCTTCCTCCTGGAATGAACTAAAGCAGATGTCAAATGGGCTGGTGGGGGTGACTACTCCCTTTTCCACTCTTTAGATTTCAAACCTTAGGCTCACAGCCCCTCAATATCTCTCTGCTAATACCAGTGTCTCTCTCTAGTTAGGCCTCTAATCAATCCTCTGTTTCTGTTTACCAGCTTCCCAGCAACTTTCCTCTTTTAAAATATTAAAAATTTAATTCAGGTTCTCTTAATTATCCCCATCCTGCTGTTGCCTCCACCCTTAACTCTATCCCTATTAGGAACCTTGTTTCCCACCGAATAAGAGTTAAGGTAAGAGATAGCGTTTCACCTGATGACATTCCATTTAAGTCTTGGGGCATTTTTCCTGCCCTTTGCCAACCTCCCTGGTGGCCCAGGTGAGAGGAGGAAGAGGGGTCTGGAGAGAAACCCAGAATGCAGCAGAACTAGGAGTAAGTCCATCTCAAGGTGAACTTCTGATCATTGAGGATGGTGAGATAAATAGGTTGAAAACAATCATCTGTGAGTTTAGGAGTCTTAAGATCCTCACAGCACGGGAGCAGGGAGAGGCTCTAGAACAAGGTTTCACAACCGAGATGCCTTTGACATTTTGGGCTGAAGTGTTCTTGGTAAAGGATACCTGTTTCCTGTTTTGTGCATTACAGGATATTTGGCAGCATCCCTGGCCCACCCTAGTTATGACAACCAAAAATGTCTCTATACATTGCCAAATTTCTCCTAGGGGGCAAAATCGCCTCCATTTGAGAACCACAGCTCTAAAGTCAAGATATTTTTCTCTGAAGTGATTTCTGCTTGGCACGCTACCCTCATCATGTTACTCATCTTAAGCCCGAGCCATGGATGAACTAGGAGCTCGTATAAATGAGGCTCAGCAGGGCTGCACATAATCTCCAAACAATTCTTTATTCAGTGTTTTGCTTGTGCTCGCGTGTTGCTGTGATGGACAGGTCCCATGCTCCTCCATTCTCGCCCTCTGGAGAAGTGGTTCCTGCAGTGTAGATATGAACAGGGTATGGTAGGATTGAGGATGGAGGAGAGAGAAGCAGTAGATACACTCCTTATCCTCCCCAAATTTTAAGCTCTATTTCTGTGCCCTAGTCCTAGAACCAGACACACATTAGACTCAGGGAGTTTTGTCTGAAGACCAGGTCCCACTGCCCCCCCCCCGGCTGAAGAGTCTGCTTTAGATGGGAAAACAACGTAGGAGCAGGGGTCTTTAGGCACTTTCAGTATTCTCAGGTGTTCTTTGTTCTGGCCCTTCCAGGGTAATTAGGAAGGCAGAACAAGACAGATGAGCTCCTGCCTGCTGTGAGACAAGGCTGGGGTCTCATTCGATTTGCAACAGGAAACATCCTGTTCTATGGTAGTGGGGTCAGGAAGGTAGGAACTGGTATCCATTCTGCCAATTCCACCACCCATTCAGTTTGCTTATACCTACAGAGCAGTGACTGAGGTTCTATTTTTTTTTTTTTTTTTAATTTCCATGTATTTTCTGCCATTTTTCAGGGTCTAAGATTGGTCCTACATTCCCAATTTACTCTCAGTTCCAGTCAAGCTGGTTGCTCTGAAAGTAACCCAACTTGTTGCCCTAAAATACCTCAGTAGCCTGAGTGTTATACTAGAGATCTAAAGGGTTAACAGGATAGGGTAGAAAGATTAGAGACTCCTGGAAATCTCTGGTTACCATGATCTTCAGCCCCATTTAATACCTGTTCTTTGGACACAGTCTTTTTCCTTTGGTGCTCTCTTGCCTTTAGCTACCTTCTCTAATATGTATGCTACCATCACTAATAAAGTGATGGGAATGGGTTTGAGAGTCATAATTTATATTAAAAAGTTGTTGGACTTTTAAATACATTTTTCAAATAAAAAAATTTAAGCAAAATAGTTGCACAGTAATCACTGCAGGTGTGTGTTGGATTAAAGGATGGATGTGGCTAATGAAGATAACTCCTCCAAAGTGGCCAAGATGGAATTTTGTACCAACATTGCCCTTCTGAGGAGAGAGGGCCAAGTATTATGAAGGCAAGAAGACCAATGTCATCTTTCAAGGGCTCAACTCCTTGTTCTTCCTACTCCCTTTTCTTAGCATTTATTTGAGATTTTTCAAGCCTGTAAAAGAAGTAGTTGTTTTAAAACAATGTTGGAAATGAGGAAAATGAGCAATATCAACATTTTATCCTGAGGGACAGGGAGTAGGGAATAAGCCAGAGGCTGCTAGTTACACAGTTCAGTCTTAGTGATGAAGAGATTTATGTCTCTCCTCCCTCAGGTACCTCTGTAAAGAAACACAAGACCAAACAATGTATTTTCCAGTTTTGTTTTTCTGTTCTGAAAATATCTAGTGGGTGCTAGGATTGAAAGGGCATGAGAGGTTGAGATGCTGATATCTCCTCATGTGGATGAAGTGGCCATTACCTCCGGTTTCTGTCTATCTGGGTAAGGAAAAAAAAAAGAGAAAAAGGGAAATTACAACCACATCTATATTCTTTCCCTTCCTTGCTTCATCTCCCCCTCCCACAAACCCATATTCCCTCAACTCTATTGCCCACCCTTTACTTATTTTTGTATGCAATAATGGTACTGGACACACAAGGAGAAAAACAGAAACAAGCAAAATGACCAAGCATATGCTTTGTTTATCACCTTTCCCTCCTCAAAGTCCTATCATCCGTATCAATTGAAACCTTATCAAGTCAATCAGAACCTTTGGTAATTCTGGGTAAAGCAGAGGACTATCCTTCCTTGTCCCGGAAGGACAGTTCTCCCAGATAGTAGTGGTGAAGAGGGTTGGCACTGGTGTCAAACCTGATTTAAATCTCATGGCTCTGCCACTTACTAGCTTTGTAAACCTCAATTTCTTCATCTGAAAAGCGGGGATAATAATACCTCATAGGGTGTGAAGATCGATTCAGGTAAAGTGCACATAGTAAGACCTCAAATTTTGGCAGTTGTTGCTATTAAGCTGTATTAGGTCAAAACTATTAATTGATTAAGATCCTCCATATCTGTTAATTATCTGTGCATCAAAAAGTCTTTATGGGCTGGGCATGGTGGTTCATGTCTGTAATCCCAGAATTCTGGAAGGCCAAGGTGGGCAGATCCCTTGAGCTCAGGAGTTGGAGACCAGCCTGGGCAACATAGTGAGATCTTGTTAGCCAGGCGTGGTACATGTCTGTAGTCCCAGCTACTCAGCAGGCTAAAGTGGGAGGATTGCGTGAGCTCAGAAGATGGAGGCTGCAGTGAATTGTGATTGCACCACCACACTCCAGCCTGAGTGATGAGAGTGAGACCCTGTCTTGAAAAAAAAAAGTCTTATGGCCAGGGGCACAGTAGCTCATGCCTGTAATCCCAGCACTTTGGAAGGCTGAGGCAGGAGAATTGCTTGAGCCCAGGAGTTCAAGACCATCCTGGGCAATATAGCGAGACTTTGTAAAAAAAAGAAAGAATTTCCAGGGCTAGGCTCAGTGGCTCATGCCTATAATCCCAGCATTTTGGGAGGCCGAGGCAGGTGGATCACTTGAAGTCAGGAGTTCTAGACCAGCCTGGCCAACATGGTAAAACCCCATCTCTACTAAACAAAAACAAAATTAGCTGGGTGTGGTAGTGGGTGAGTGCCTATAATCCCAGCTACTCAAGAGGCTGAGGCAGGAGAATTGCTTGAACCTGGGAGGCAGAGGTTGCAGTGAGCCAAGATCATGCCATTGCACTCCAGCCTTGGCAATAAGAGTGAAACTCTGTCTTTAAAAAAAAAAAAAGTATTTCCAATCTTAACTATTAACTATTTGGTCAATAATCACCTAATGAGCAGTAAGACATTTTACCTAATGACCAACCAGTAGTTGCTCAATAAATCATAGGTGGAATCAGCTGGGTGTGGTGGCTCAAGCCTGTAATCCCAGCACTTTGGAAGGCTGAGACGGGCGGATCACGAGGTCAGGAGATCGAGACCATCCTGGTGAACACGGTGAAACCCCGTCTCTACTAAAAAAATACAGAAAACTAGCCAGGCGAGGTGGCGGGCGCCTGTAATCCCAGCTACTCGGGAGGCTGAGGCAGGAGAATGGCCTAAACCCTAGAGGCGGAGCTTGCAGTGAGCTGAGATCCGGCCACTGCACTCCAGCCTGGGCGACAGAGCGAGACTCCGTCTCAAAAAAAAAAAAAAAAAAAGGTGGAATCAATGGCTAACATTGTGAATAACCAATGCATGTTATGAATCAATAACCAGGTAAGTCAGTAACAGTTCATGTAAGCAACACTGGCTGGCTCAGCAACTGGGTTTTAGATATCAGGACTTTTCAGACCCCTCATCAAAGACTCTGGCTTATCACCAAACACTTACTGGTTGCATCTCTGTGAACACTGAAGAGAGGCTATTCCAAATATCCTCCAGGCCAATCCTGACCTGTTTCCAAAAAGCCAGGGCTGGGCAGGGGCTGGTGGGTGGCAGGCTGGGACTGCTTCTGAGGTGGATGGTGGGGAAGGGGGTAGTGGTGGTCCTGGTACTGGTGGTGCTCTGAGAGGCACAGTTGGTGTCAGTACAGAGACTTGTGTCCAGGGGGCACTCTTCCCGAAGTCGGTCGCAGGGACATTGTTGGTAGGTGCAAGGCTTGTGCTCCGTGCGGAGTTGGCTCAGCGCCCCAACTCGAAGGCGCCCGGAAAGGCCGTGCAGCTTCCCAGACCGGCTCCGGCTCATGGTGCCCGACTTGCAGTGGCAGTGCCACGGGCCCCAGGGCATCAGCACCAGTCGCAGATCCTCAGGAGGTGGCATGGCTGTAGATGAGGGTGACGGCCACCGGCTCGGGGTAGACCCGGGTGTGGACCACTGGCTCAGGGTGGCCTCCGAGCCTGGCGGGTCCTCAGTAGACCTCCCGGGGGAGTGCGGCAGGCTTGAAGTCATCCTGATTTCAGGCTCCTGACTATTGGCTATAAACCTCGTGCTGGAACTCCCCGCTGTACTGGGAGTCACACTGGGAAGCTCTCTGCTGGTGTTATCCTTTCCGGCATTAATCACAACCCCCTCTTCCGAAGACCCATCCTCCTCGTTAATGGTGGACGACCGGCTAAAGCCGGTGGACACCGTGGCGGCCAAGAGCTCTGCAGCCGCCGGTCCAGCCAGGCGGTCGGCGTCGGCCATGGCATCATTATCGTCCTCTAGGATTATCCTCGTCTTCCGGGGAAGAACAGGCCGGGCGGTGCTCCGGTAGCTGCGGATCCTGGGGCCCGCAGAGCGTAAACTGATCCTCTGCACTGCGGTCGGAGTCTGGGTCAGGCCTTGGGCCCCCGCCGCCCGGGGACCCAGACTCAGCAGCAGGACCCACAGCAGCGCGCCGGCGGCGGGGACCATGGGGCTGGGCTCTTGGGGTTGGGAGGGAGGCCACTGAGGCAGGCCCTGCCTCCTACCTTCGCTCCCTCCCTTCCGCTCTAGACCCACTGGGTCGTTTGAACCGAGGCCCGCGGGGAAGGGGGTGGGGTTCGACGCGCAGGCGCCCGCGCACCGCGTGGGGTGCTCCTAAGGAATCTCTGCGGCAAGAACTCTGCCAGAACCGAAAGAAGGTTTGGGATGCAAGGGGTGGTGAAAGAGTCGTTCACTTCTTTGGAGTAGAGCTTAAATGTCTCATCGCAGTTTATTAGTCTTTACAGTTCTAAATTTACTAAAGGGCGCAAAATACAGGTTTTGAAAGCACTCCTTCCCAGGCTCACAGGCAGCAGACATGACTTAGAAGGAAAAAGGGCATACAGGGGTTCTTCAAGATTTAATGAGCTGACTCTCCTGGCTCCCAGCAGGCAGGCTGGCTGTCAGGTAAGCCTCTTCCATCCAAGGTGGAAAGATCACAGCCCCTCCACTTAGAGAGGAGGAAAATGAGGAACCCAAAAAGATGATTTGCCCAAGGTTCTACAGCTAAAGTAGGATTAAAACTCAGAGCTCTGGCCGGGCGCAGTGGCTCACACCTGTAATCTCTCCACTTTGGGAGGCTGAGGCGGGCAGATCACGAGGTCAAGAGATCAAGACCATCCTGGCCAACAAGGTGAAACCCTGTCTGTACTAAAAATACGAAAAAAGTAATTGGGCGTGGTGTGTGCCTGTAGTCTCAGCTACTCGGGATGCTGAGGCAGAAGAATGGCTCGAACCAGGAGACAGAGGTTGCAGTGAGCCGAGATGGCGTCACTGCACTCCAGCTTGGCCACAGAGCCGGACTCCGTCTCAAAAAACAAAACAACCCCAGAGCTCTGCATATCCCATACAAAATGACCCTACATTCAGCCTTCTGCCCCAACAACTGGAATGAAAGTCACCCAGCAGACCAGCTTCCCAGTCTCAAAGCCCTGCTGAAGGCAGGGTCATGCAAAGGACAAAATCCCACTGAGAAGTGAAGATCCAGTGGTACTGAGATTGGGGATAAGATGATTTACAAAACAGCTCAGATGTTTCAGGGATTCGGGTGTAGGCAGATCACTAACTGGTTCTAAGGCCTTTTATCCAGTCCTGTGTTAGGTCCCTCCTGAGCCATGGAGATCCCGGTCCAGCCTAGGAGAGGGAGGGGAGACGAGAGGAAAGAAGAGGTTCAGGGGCAGGACTTGGGTTTTACTTTCTGGTTTGGGGAGACAAGCCAGGTGAACTGGAAGAGCTAGATGATTGGGTTGAGTCATCATTTAGCACTTTTGCTCCCTAATACCCTCTCCCCCACTGGATATCATCTGTTCACTTCCAACACATCTCTTCCTAATTTCTAGGGCCAGTCGGAATCTCCTCTGCACTGTGATTATTCCTTTATTCCTTATTGCCTCTGCACTTATATATATAGGGTTTTTTTTCATTTATTCTTTTTTTTTTTTTTTTTT